TTTTTGGAAGCAGTCTGCAGCGCAAGGCGGAGATCAACTGTGAACTGACCTCGGGTGGCAGAGTCAACACCTGCCAGGGTCTGTTCTGCGGATAGCGCTGTTTAAAGTGGGCGAGAAGGTCAGGCAGGGTGAGGTGTTGCAGGCGCGACGCATCATCAGCCATCGCGTGGCAGGACCCGGGATGTAGGACGAGAGGGCGCAGTAGCGGTGCTCTCGCTGGTGTCGGCAGGCGTAGTTGCAGAGGAATGCCGCAGAACCATCTGAGGTGACCGCACCTTTGGAGACTCTGGAGACGGCTGGGGTATTGTCCGAGAGAGTGTAGAGGGTGGCGTAGGTGACGCAGTGCCGCGCTGCTTGCAAGGAGTGCTGCGCAAGGATGGCTGCTTGCTCGAGGTCACTGTTGGTGACGGTTCCGTTCACGGTGTCCGTAGACACGAGCTGAGCCTGCACATCGGGAGGGAACAGGAACCTCCAGAGGTAGGGAGTTTCCTTGGAGTCAAAGTAGACACCACCCATTCCAGCCTTGCGGCGTCGTGGCCCAAGAAGGATGGGTCCTGGGGACGATCTCAGCCAGGTGAGTTGGGCGGTGGCAGGGCTGGCAGCCAGATCAGCAAAGGCATCGATGTGGGATCTCAGCGCGGTATTGATCCGGATCCTTCCTCCTTTGGACTTCGTGAGGGCGAGCTGGAGTCGCGCTGAAGAGTCCACGGAACCCCGGATGGCAACAGAGACAAGCGCAGCTTGCCGAGGATTTTGCATCCAACGCTTGTGGCTGACTCTGCGACACCCGGCTAGTTCCTTGAAGATGTCAGCGAGCGCTTGCTTCCGGTGGGGAGGGAGTTCTAACCAGAGTCTGTCGTAGGGTGTCGATGATCCATCCCAGAATGAGTTTTCGAGCAGCCCAGCTTCCATCACCTTGCAGGAGTTTCTTGAGCGAGACAGCCTCATTTCGGTGTTTCTCGCTGAGGTTGGGGCGAGCAAGGATCTCGTCGATGGCATGGAGCAAGTGCCTGCGTAGCGCTTTCATACGGGTCTTTCCTCCTTGGCCTAGTTGGATGAAGTCGTCAACGAACACATCATTCCGCCCGATGGGCTGGAGCAGAGGTCTGTCGAGGTCCCGCGAAGTGGTCCGGCTCGGCCTCCAGGGGGGAGGTGGCTATCTCCAAGGAGTTCTTGCGTTGACGCATGGTCCTCCTTTTCTGTGGTCTAGGAGTGGTGGAGGGTCCAGTTCATCCATTCCTCGTCGTGATGCTCAAGCCTGTCGGAGGACAGGCTCTGGGGACTTCAGGAAGCGTTCATTTGCTCGGTCGCAGGTTAGTCTCTGACATGCCACTGAAAGTAAGGCGGCGACTCGACCCATCCCATGGTGCATGACATGGGACGGCCACCGTTGGGGCTCACCTTCGTAGCGAGGCAGCACCAGCGCGAGTCGGATACAGTCGGAAGAGTTCAGGAACATGCGGTAAAAGCCATCCTTGATGTCATGATTTGCAGAGGCGGACGGGTCCAAACTTGGGGTTTGCGTGACGCACATCGTACAGGATGCGCGGCAGGGCATTTGCAAATTTCATGGCCTCGGGCGCGTGCGTGATGTGATGTGGTTTCGTTTACGTAGGCGCCATCCCAGTTCCAGGGTGGTCAGCTGATGAGTCGGGGTTTTCGGTCTCGTTCCACCTTTACCGCAGCGGCAGACTAGAATGAAGGGAGGGTTCATCCTTGAAGAGGTCGAATGGAAGGACAGCCCAGAACTTGTTCTCGATAACTCGGAAAATTACTCAACGGAGGAAGTCGGAATGCTCGATAGCAGATTTGTGGCAGCAGCGGCGGATGCATTCCTCCTTCTTTCCGTCGTCCAGGGAGTGATTCGTTTTGTACGGGGACCCATGGTCTCTCCAGTGGCGAGAGCAAGGGGATGGCAGGGATGGTCGACATCTTCCAGGTCGGAGTCACTTAGGTAAGAGCGCCCTCTGAAGTGGTGAAAAAGGTCTCCCACGTCTCTGCCTTCTGAGTAGGCTGAGCAAAGGTTTTGGACTAACGTACCTAGTCTGTCATTTCGGATTGATCTGGTATCAACGGCAGGGCTAGTAGTTTTAGTGGTGTTTGATGTAGAGGATGAAGGCGGTCAGCGTTTCTTAGGTGATCCGGGCAGTAGGCCAGCGACCGCTTGATGATGGAACATTGACAGCGAGGCCGCGTGTGAGAGGGCGTGAATTGAATGGTAGAAATTTCGTGTGAAGGTGTTTGCGAGCAGGAGTGCTCCTGTAGTCCTTGGAGGTTTCACAGGAGAGACAACGCGATCAAAGGGCGGAGACCAAACTGCTTGCGAGGCATGGACGCCACCGAAGATAGGAGCAGGCGCTCCAATACGGGTGGCGAGTCCAGGCGAGGAGACTCAGGGCTGCGGGTAGCAACTCCACAGTCCGTGAGGAGAGTGTGGAGCTCTCTGCACCGTAGCCTGCCGAGTAGCGCTTGTGGGTGGCAGCGCGCTTGCATCCGGAGGTGCAGCTGCCTTTTAGGGCCCAGGCCATACAGACCTCCTGACCACGTGTTGGGAATGGTGTACTGATGGTCCTTGGCCATTTCAGTGATGGAGCGGAATCCCAGTCCTGGAAACGCTTCAAGAGGTCCTCATCGCCGTGGACGTTGGTGACCGGGTGTGCTCCCCTCGCTGTTGGTTCGCTCCGGCAGGCTTCTTGCTCGGCGGCTCGGGAGCGGGCTTGAAGACGAGTACAGTGAGCAGGAAGCTCAGCGAGAGACGAGGCATGGGAGGACTGAACGAGTCTAGTCAGCGCCCAAAGTTGGGGGCAGCAGTCCCGGGTTTAGGATAGCTTCTTGACCCACAGAAGTAATCTTGTTGGACCTCAAAAAGGATGCGACCGCACAAGTCCACCGCCACACTCCGGTTGTCAGCATGTAGGCCATGGATGGGTGGAGGTAGGATCCCAGCGAGAGGGCCACATCACGCACCGAGCGGAGACGGGATGGTTTCCTCCATGGAAGACATCTATCATGATGGAGAAACCATACAGCTTCTCCTCCGCAATGCGACCATCGGTGGGAAACTTGACTCGGTGGAAGTGATGGCAATGGCATCTTCCAAGGTGACGGAGGCTCCCTTCTCAACGTACTCGCTCAGCAGCCAGTCCTGGACTGCCTTCGCTTCCGAATGGCCTGGCACACCACCGAGAAGGGGGAGAGGCCTTCGCCCAAGTGGTCCCTTGACCGTTCACGAAGTACTTGCGGAAGACACATCCAGAATGTGTCCAGTGACCAAGGGTTTGTTGCGAGGTTAATGGGCAGTGCCGAAGCCTGATGCGTGCGTTCGTCTAGTTGAGCTTGCAAGATCCCGTTTTCATTCCCCTTGGGGGACTTCGCGAGCAGACGGGTGAATAACGGGAAGGTTTGCGTCATCGGCCACGTTGCAGAGGTGTGGACGCGAGTGGCTAGGGCGACCCCGAATTTATCCGTGAAGGTTTTGTCGCTCTTCTCACGGTCATACTGGAGTTGTTGTTCAACAGTGGCCTCCAGCGTATCAGTAGGTTCGTGATTCCCGGTTGAAGGTTGCGTTGGTCAGGCCCGACCTACCGCGCCAAGCGCCGCCATGTAGGGGGAGAGTACCCGGTTGTGGCTTCGTTGGAGCGCGTTTGCGCTAATGGGCGCGGCCACGTTGCAGCAGCATTACTAGTGGACGTGTGACCTCCCCGACCAACGTACAACAGGCGCGAACCATTGGACCAAAGGGGCGATGGAGCCTGTCGCGCAGGATCCGCGTGAGTCATCTCGGGGTAAGGACTTCCGCACGGACTGGGGGAGACTGTACTGTCCTTCGGGACGGGCCACAAGGACGGCTTCAGAGAGATAGGACGGAAGAGGCATCACACGACGGACCCAAAGACATCAGTGTCCGCGACACCACCACCGTGGGGGCCACTGTGAGACAGAGCCGGAGCGGCGGAAACATGGTTCCTCCATCAATAATTGTCATGTTGTGGCAGGTTACGTCAGCCGCGCGCTCGAACGCAGACATGGGAAGCACCACCTTGATAGCGCTTCGAAGATCGTTCCCACCACGATAGCGTAGAGATTGTCGTAAGGAGAGGCCTGGCTCGGATTCACGGGGTAGGCGTAGAGTGAGTGTCCAATGTAGATATTCTTTTCATCATTTTGGAGGACGAAGCCAAAGGTGACAGGCGAACGAAGGCAAAATTGGCTCATAGCGCGAGAGGCAACATCACGATTTGCATTCGAGGCGCCGCCCACAGAAGTGAGGATATCGTGTAGTTGGAGCATGTACCTCCCATGCTGCTGCACGAGAGACGAGATCCGAAAAATTAGAGCTGGCCATGGTGAGGTCGAAAAGATACGAAACCTGATGCCAGCGCAAGAGATTAATCTAATCTAGGTTCTTCCTTCAGCGTCGGCTGAAAAGAATTGTGAGCTGAGAGAGAGACAACCTTCTTGCGATCGGCAGTTCAATGGCTGGTCTTGGCTAGGTCGCTGGCTTTAGTGATTCATGGTTGCCGCTGTCGATCTTGCCAAATGTGTTGGTCTTGGACGGGCGTCGTTGCCTTAAGGGTAATCTTGTTCGAGAGGCATTGAGGAGCTGATGCGGTGCATCATCATGTTGGGTATCCATTTCCGGAACGCAGGTGATGACCTGCGAGATGTAGAGATGTACTTGAGTTGTAGGTGAGGAGCGCGGGAATTAATTTTGCAAATTGTGAGATGGTCTTCTCGGCAACCATGATTAGGGTCATAGTTGCGAGAACCCATCAGGGTTCAAGTTTCCACACTGCGGGGCGTGGAAACTCGGACGGGGGGTTCCCCAGGCGTGCTGCTGCTCAACACTCCGCAACACCATTGCGGATGTGAGGAAACCTTTTCAAGATGGAGGTCAAAAGAAGTCAAAGAAGAAGAGTACCGCTCCACCCCGCTTATTTCTGTCACGTTTTGCCTCAGCAGATTGCAACAGCATCTTTGGGGGCAGTTCAGGGAATAACATGCCTGGGTCGGATACTGTCAAGATTAGCAATATCGGGAACTGGCATATTGTTTCCAGGAATATGCGCACACTGTGGCAGTCCGTGGAGCAACATGCCCATCCCGAGTACCTAGAGAAGTTGGAGCTGGACAGAACTGGAGTGCGTGATGTTTTGCCCTCAGGTGGTCATAATTATCACACCCAGTTTGGCGACGATTTCCATCCTATTACTGTTGCCGACTCACAGCCCAGTTCTTTGACGACTGACATTAGGAGTGGTTTGGCCAAGCTCGAAGATGGGGGTTCTCCTTTTCCCCCATTCTGCTGCAATGGGCAGCTCAAGGATGAAGATGCATCCTTCAATCAGGGCGTCAGCAGGGGCGGGGTTCCCTCCCGCAATGGTACACGTATAATCACAGCATCGAAAAGTGGCAACCCGCTGAGGAGCCAAGCTGCAGCTATCAAAAAGCAGGCGAGTCACCAAAAGTTAAGCATGATTCAAGAAGATGTTACCAGTTTGAAGGATGGTCAGGCTAGCCTGGCAACTGAAGTTTGCAGCTTGAAGGCCGACATCTCGAGCATAAAGTCAACTCAATGTGGTTTGGCGTCTAAGGTTGGCTGTTTAACTCAGGAATTTGGCTGTTTAACTCAGGAATTCTCCCAAATGAGTGAGCTACTAGCTCAGGTCCTGGACTACCAGAAGCAGACAGCGCAGACAGCGGCCATAGACTCACAGGCGCACAAGCAGCGAGTAGCTGATGCTCATCTGAGAGCGGCCTCGGCAGGCAGACTGGCACCTGCCAAGCCCAAGAAGAGGAAAGCGTCTAACCCAGGTGGCAAAAAGGTAAAACTGTTGGGGCGTTTTGATTTGCAATCCCCCCGGGCGTCGTATTGATTCTCTGTTGTCACCTTTCCTCTCGCTCTTCTTCATTCATCAGACAAAGAAATCCGTAAGTCAAAATTGTGGAACCATCCTTCCCCCTTGGTTATACAAAATACTAAACTTGTTGTCTTCCCAATGACAGAAAAAAAGCAAAGATACTGCTGCCAGTGGCCCCGTCCCATGCGCCCCCCCATTGCCTTTTGCGCTGATGGCAGCAGGTGAAGCCCCGTGCACTGCTGCCAAGGAAGCCCCGATATTGCCTTCTGCACTGATGGCAGCAGGTGCTGCCAAGGAAGCCCCCTCCACCACAGAGTGTTTGAAAACTGCCCCAGTTAGTGCAAGATATAGTACAAGGGGAAAAGCTGCATCTTCCGTTAGTTCCGTCAGGGATGCCCCCCCAGCTATTGCAGTATGTAAAACAAATGGATCAATTCCAATGTCAGAGGTGGTTTTGTGAAGGTAAGCACTGACTTTGTTTTGTGTTTTAAATAGTGTTCTCCTCCCTGTTCTGATACGAAGCACCGGTGCCCCCCCCATCTTCACCTTTCATTCAGGTGGCGATAGATGTAGAAGAATCAGCAGCCGTAGCGCTGGATGCTGTTTTTGCTTCTAAGGTTGGCATTGTAACCGCTCTCTCTTTGCCCTTTGAAAATGAAAATGTTATTCTTTCTATTCTGACATTGCGCTTTTTGCATGCAGGTTGCTGCGCGCCGACAATGCTCTTCCGCAGACGATGACATTGTTGCCGACGACGGCAGTGACAGCGACTCAGAGGCTACAAGAGATGAGCAACAAGAAAACTATACCGACCTTGTTGCTGACCCCCGGGATATTCAGGATGTCATGTTCTTTTACATCAAGAAGAGCGCGCCAGATAAAGGTTACTACATCACTTCAAAGAAAGAAGATGGTACTGGTGGCTACAGGCACAAAGAAGTAGAAGAGCTGACGGCTCTGTTTCAAAAGTACCTCAAAAGCAAAGCGAGGAAGACTGATATGGTGCCTCCTGATCTCCTCTACATCAAGTACGATGCTCGATACTTTGACGGTATAGGTGCAAGACCTGAGATGGGTTCTTGGATGAATTTGGTTATAGATGGACGATACAACATTCTCAAGGATTTTGTTGAGGACCCCTCAAATCATACACTGTACAAAGAAAGGGGTGAAGTTTCCAAAATAGCGTTTGAAGCCCTCAGGCACCACATTCTGAGTGGAAACGAAGACCATGTGAAGCAAAAAGCTATACAGATCAGGGATGAGTTGTTGGAGAGAGAATTCGATGCCTAGCTAGAAAAGCGAGGAAGATTGAACCACCCCCTTTTTTGGCCCCCACCTTACCATACCCTCTTTTACTATCCCTAATCTTCAACTTTTAGTGAGAATTGACCGTTTTTTAATCCCCCCTCTTACCCTCACTTTATCCCCCCCCTGTTTCAAAAAACTATCTGTAAGCTAGATAACCAATGACTACCTCCTAGTGACCATGTCTTTTGATCCATGCTTTTACTTTTATTCGCGTTTTTGTGTCTATTTCATTCCCCCATGTGTGAGTCTTGGTTTATTGTTGAGGGTTCAGGTTCTTGTTGATCAATTTTAATCCCAATGTGCGAGTCTTGTATTGTTGAGGGTTCGAGTTTTCTTATTGAGGTTCATTCCCTGTATGTGAATCTTGTATTGTTGAGGGTTCGAGTTTTCTTATTGAGGTTCATTCCCTGTATGCGAGTCTTGGTTGTATTGCTGACGTACTACAGCTCTACTGAGTTTGGTATGTCCGAGCGTTACTTTCGGTTGAAGTTCTACCATGAAAAGCCAGTTGTTTAACAAGTTCATCCATGCTTTATCTTTTTAAATTTGTTGGTGATTTGAAAACAGTCTCAGTCGTGCTGTGGTGTTATCCAGGCGGCGTCCTAAGTAGTAAGATCACAAGAGGCAACGACATTTTCCTTCCCTATAGAGGTTAGCTTCCGGTCTGTAGAGCGATCCTACAGAGATTTTGGTCTCTGTTGGAGCCGTCTACAGAGAAAAACTCTCTGTAGAACCGTCCTACAGGGACCTCTTCAGAGAATTTTGGCTCTAGAACGTGTTCTTCAGAGAACTTTTTCAGGGATCTCCCGCCACAGTGAAACCTTCCAAAGTAGACGGCTGGCTCCAAAGCAAAGGCATTGGGTTGCCATCGTTGTCCAAGAGAGAAAAGGTGTTAGGATCCAGGACGGACGTGGTGTGCGCAGAGGTACTTCTTGGGATGGACAATGCACATCCACCTTGGGTTGGTCACTCGCGAAGGTGTGTGTGGAACATGTCTTGAGGCTATCTGCAGATACTCCCCACTCACAAGCAACCTATTGCACTTGGACGTCAGTAAGGATCCCACTTGGTCTCCCCATACTTGCACCATAGTAGCTTGGAATTGGCTTAGAAGCTATCTGTTTGTCTCCCCATAAAGCTCAGAGGGGCTGGGACAAACAGTCAGTAGTCACATTGGGATCAATACGTGGTTGACAAAACGTTACAACACAGACATCTCAGGCAGAGATGAGTCTTTTGACACCACTGGTGGCAACATACAAGTTGCAAAATACAAAACGGTATGCTTGAATCATGATGACAAATCTAGCAAGGGGACTTGTCATACGGTGCCATTTCCTGCGGAAGGTAGCCCCAGTGTGGGTGGCATGCTACCCCGCAGACATGGGCGGTGCCTGGTTTCCTTGGGCTTGACCGGTACAGCACGTACACTAGTCGCCCCATCAAAAATCCAGGTTGGGATTGGGCTTGGGCTTGCCCTTGAAGGCTTCGTCATCTGCCATGGGAGTATCCAAGGTGTCCCCGGCTGCTGGGTTAGCTTCACGTTTGGAATAATCTGCAGGCGGAGGTATCGAACTTATCAGGACTCGTCTGTCAGCATCAGAGAGCTTGCACCAGAGCTGGCGGGCAGCGGGTGAAAGCTTGAACCAATCTGTGCTTGGGAGTCCAAGGACTTGCTGCTCCCCATCAACGGTATGGCCTTGTCCCTCATCGACAGTCACTAGGTTGGCTAGGTAGGAGTCAGGACGAACACAACGGTTGACATCGTAGTGGGTGGCAGCATTCTTGAGTGTCTCCTTGTACGCTTCATAGGTGAAGTGCTCCTTGGGACCATGACGGCACATCCTTTCATGCTCACGGGATCTGATGTCGTTCAAGACTTGGACATCAGTGAAGGCACGTTGCAGGAAAAGCTTCTGCATGCTGTCGCTGAGCTTGTCGCTAGGATCTTGATGGCCATCATTGTAGTGGGTGATGGTCTCGTCAAACTTAATGACAAAGTCAACAGCGGAGCCCTGTCTTGGACTGTACTGGACACTTGAAAGCCAATGGAGGACCTCAACTTGGTCCAGGGAGCCTTCTACTGATGCATGTGCATCCTAGATCAGTTCCACAAGGATTGCAAAGCAATCAGCATCATGGAAGTGAGACTTCACAATGACTTTCCCATTGGCTGTCTTCACTGTGTTCAGGAGGACAGCATAGATCCACCGGTTCATCCGTAGGAGTTAAAGTACTCGGTGTTCATGGGAACATAGTCAGTGTTGAAGACCTTGTAGAAGCCTTGGGCTCTGGCTATGATGATGAGATTCTCATACCAAGTATCGAACTCTTTGTTGGAAGAAAGGGTTGGGTAGGCTGTGGCATCTGCCTTGGCGCGAAAGTACCTGCGTTCTGGTTCTGGATTGCCACCGCCTCCACCTCCTCCAGGACATGGATCAGTGCCATCAGGATCTCCTTGGCCACCACTGTCATTACCTTGTGGATTGCCACCAAAGCAGTCTGGATTTCCTGAACCAACAGGACCTTCTACATTGTTGGGACTCCTTCCCTGCATCCTTTTCATGGGAGACATGCCATGCATGTTGGAGAAGATGGATTGCTTCACCTGTGGTTGTGGCCATTGGCTGCCTAGAGGATTGGGAATGGAGTTCCTCTTTGACTGCTCCTCCAGAGGCACAAAAGGTTGGCTGATTGGAGGGATGGTTGAATACACTGGTGTCTGGGATGAGACAACTCCAGTAGGTTGGATGGTGGAGGACACAGGTTGAATGGGAGTGTACTCTACCCTGGGATGTGATGGGATTGTTGTTGGTTGGTGGGTGTATTCCTCCCCATTGGGGAGCCATACTTGGTCAAGGAAGCCATCTCCAATAGGTGGAGAGGCAACATCCATGGCAACATGCAGTTGGAATGGATAACCAAGGGGCTCTCTAAAATCACCCAACAAGCTCTGTTCCAAACTGCCTGGTTCTGAATCGGTCCTCCCAGCCTTTATCTCAGGGCTGGGCTTGAGTGATAACACAGGTGTTCTAGGAATGGAGCCATGGGATAGTATGCCATGGAGGGAAGAGGATGCATTGAAGGAATCAAAGGGGAGCTGCCGGTTGGTCTGGTCATTGAAGGTGCTGACTAGATCCTGTGTGGAGGCGTGGGATTGGTTGAGTTCCTCCTGTTGGTGGGAGAACTTGCCCATTGGATGGAGGAGAGTTGCCTAGAGAGTGAGGTTTCAAAGGCGACTTGAGTGTCCATTGCCTCCTTGGCAGCTTGTTTTGATGCCTCTGTCAATGCTAATGTCAGCTGCTGCAGTTGTTGGCTGATTATTGTTGTGTCAGGGTCGGCTGGGTTGGAAGAAACCACAGTGAGAGGCTTTGCCTGGGTGTGTGGTGTTGGCATCTGTGATGGCATGTAGACTGAAGGGGGATCCACAGGGGTTCTTGTAGGGGATAAAGCTGGAGCCCTAGCGCCTGCAAGATGGTTGGTGGATCTGTTGGTGTTGTCAGTGCTGCTGCTACTATTGGATGCTATTGGGATGGCACCACTGGCAGACTGTGCCTGTTGTTGTTTCTTCTTCTTGCGGCCCATGATGATTGGTATGCTGGCTATACAGTGTAGTAGTGTAGTGGTAGTGTAGTGGTGTTGCCGGCTGTTCCTTGGGAGGGTATGGTTGGATGAGTATTGTTGGTGTTGGTGTGTATGTGTGGCCAAAAGAGGTGCTTCACAAACACAGTCACAGAAAATCCAAAATGAGGGCCTGAAGACTTGCACTCCTTGTGTATGACAGAGGAGGTTGTCCTGTGGCCTCTACTACCCTTGGATACCTTGTTAACAGTTCGAAAGGTGTCCTCGAGTGGCTCCGAGCTACCCAAACAGTGACTGTTACCGGCACCGAGCGATCGATCGCTCGCATATCTTTCGAGGCTTTCCGGGTTCCTTGAGTCAAGTTTGCGTTTCTATCGAAAATGCGAGGATCAAAGCGGATCAACAGGCTCAGCTTGCTTTTGGAACAAACGTCATACATCTTGTGAGTGCCGTGTGAGTACTGTGTGAGTACCGGTACGTTTGCCAGTATCTTCCAAGCACGACTGCGAAAATCGCTTTCCGGAAGGATCGACAATGGGGATCGGCCGGTGCCTATTCCACTATCGGCCGCCGTAACCAGAGTGATTAACAAGAAGACAAGGTCAGTAGCTTGTAGAGCACCTTCAGATTAGTAGGTGGACCACTTGGTTTGACGTGAATCGGTCGCGATTCGAGTTTCCGGTCGTCGTTTTGGTTTCGCGTCGTGATTTCCTTGTTCCGTCGAACTCTTCTTCTTCCACTCTTTCACTCTGTACACTCTGTGTAGCCACTCTTGTGTCGCTATGCGGCTATGTTAATCCTATGAATCTCCGCCAGGGAACTCAGTTGTAGGAACACAAGAGCTGGGAGGGAGATCTCTGGTTGATGAAGATCTCCTCCACTGGCTGAAAGGCCAGCTCAAAAGAGCTGGATCTATGCTACCCAATCACTACTTCAAAGTACTTGGGGAGCTGGTTACATTGCCCTAGCACATACCACACAGGAATCTATCTACTGCAGGGCTGAGGGTGCTACTGGTCTCAGGGTTACTCTTTCTTACTATCTTTCTTACTATAAGCTAAAAACACCATTACCAGATTTCACTCCAGTTGACAGAACTGGCTCTTTGGAGAGGATATCCACTGTTGGAGGTCCTTGGAGAGGACTGTTGGTGTGGATCATTCCAATTGTATCTAGCTGAAGGCTATGTATGCTCTGAACACATAGGCATGCCTCAGCTATATACAAATTGTCACATGGCTGCAATGCTGTGTGTACTGATTGACTGTACATGATCAAAAGCATTGTTTCCATCCGACTAAACCAGCACAGCTGTGGGCACCCATAGACGCTCTCTATGTAATTTCATAGTCATCTTGCCTTCAGCAGTGAGACCACTGGAAAATAGCTGTGGAAACTGCTTCCTGGAGGGTGACACAGGGACAAACCCAACAGGAGATTGAAACCACACTCCATCTGGGACACTGGATACAAGACCCCCATACCACCTGGCCTGGATGTACAACCCGGTCCTCACACCTTGTACCACCGGAAGGACTGCTGTGGCAGGAATACACCGAAATTGGAATCGGAACTCGATAAGCGGTTTCGAAGGTCACCGTTGAGAGAAACTGGGAGGCTCGATGACTGATGTTGCACTACAGGTGACCCCATTGTACCGCTCCCACTGGCCCACCAGACCAACAACTCTGTGAGTACCAGACTGTTTCCGTTCAACGCCGAATCAACCGCAACCGCCCAACCACCCTGAGAGGTATCCTTCCAGTGGTTCTTTCCCTCCACCTCCCAAACTGCCACCTGATGATGAAGACGACGATGAAGTACCCCACCACAATCCACCCGTTGGGGAAGGGGTGAACTGGTGGAGGTCCCAGTGTGCTTTTGCCCTGGTGTCCATCTCAATATTCAGAATAGCCCATCGGTCCAGACAACCGTGGTGAAGGTCAGTGCCACGCAGAAGCTCCGGACGGAGTCGCCGAGTGGGTCTTGTCGTAATCCTGGTGCCCTTTCACCCAACGTTACATAACTTGCACTTTTCTCTTCCATAGTTGCTTCAGAACTGCTCTGCCTTCCACTCGCAGGTCGTAGTCCCTTTGTTGCTGGTTGGCTCGAAATGGATTCCAGTGCTTTCAGTGTGCTTGGCCGCACAGCCTATGATGATCTTTCCACTGGGAGGTCGAAGCGATACACCAGAGTGGGACCATCAGCTCACGCCACCAGTCCCGCTAGTTCACTTCGAAGGGATGAGTGGTCTTTTGGGAGCCTGGGACACACAGTTCGCCGTTGATTCTTCCTTCAGCGTCATTTCCTTCTAACACGAATGCAGCTGTGCAGGATTCGTTCTTGTACGACCATCACTGACTGCCACTCCTTGCCTGTAAGGATTGCATTGCCACCTTCATACCCGTCCGGGAGGGTGGTGGCTGGAATGCCCACTTGTCACTGCTGGGGAGTTTGTCAATCACAGAGCGTGTTGAGAGTGGTG